TAACTTAGTAACTCAACTCAATGAATGATTTTTGCTGAACACTTTATAAGAAATCCAAACCAATGTTTTATCTCTTTTAATAATTCTACCAACAGGTGTCTTGTAATATTAATTTATTTTAACTTAAGCTTGTGAATGGTTTTGCAGACGGGAGTCGAATTGTACCTAGCTAAATCTAAGCTAAACATTTCCCAGCCAACCCCTGCTGTAATGAGTAATGTACCAGTCTATATAATTGGGTAATACTAATAATGGTTACTTCTAGTATATGTGTAAAAGGGTTATTTGATTTTTTTAAAGTAATAAATTGCTGAACCATAATTCGCTGAGTCATTATAAATTGACTCCCCTCGTTCACTGGTCAACTTGGCGACCCTCTTGGCTCTGATCCTCAAGCTAAAGGAAGTGGATCTAAATTCACTTCATAATTATATTCAATTGGCCACCCTGGAATAATATATATATATATATATATATATATATATATATAATATGTCATAATATTGTTCATATTGTGTACTGACTTGTCACGTTACTTGTACTAGATAGTTCTAAGAACATTAAGTATTTAACAGTTAAGTATGTACTAAATACAGCATCCTCCTTCTGTTTTGTATTGTAACTATCAATTTAATAGTCCCTCAAGCATCTGTTCAATAACTTGAGTATTTATAAGATTTCATCATTGTGACATCTTTGCATTTAAGGAGTATAAAAATATACATTATTTGTTAAAATATTTCGGGTATACAGTGCAACATTATACAATTAAAAACATCTACATTGTGAACCCGGCTTATTTGAAGAATGGTGCACAGTCAAGTTATCCTGAAATCCTTTTCTCGTTTAGTAGCTTAACTTGTTTGGAGTAAGTAATAACTAATAATATTCTTTTTTAAACATGGGTAGGCTATATTACGTAGAACCCACAAATTATAATTAATAGCAACACATAATTTTTACTTGGAATATAATAATGTACTGGCTAACAAAGAATTTCACTTGAAAGAACAATTGTATCACAAAGTTCCTTTGTAACAGAACACTTTAAACAATTTATCGTCACACCAAATCCAGTAAAGTGCGCGGTTTACTGGGATTCTTAACTGAAGTGTCACCTTTGAGTGTGGACGACATTATGAGCTCTACTTTGTGTAGTTCTTCCAATAAAATACTATTGTCATAAGTTTTTTATTATTGAGCGTAGCTCTTTGGGATCAACTTCAATGCAACAAATAAAGCAACATCACTCAATAACGGCAGAACACATTTCAGCTAAACTTAACAAGATTACTTAGACTAATAGTGAGATGGTTAATAAACAAACAAATTTCAATTAGATAATGCTAATGAAATTTAAAACTAACTTAAAATTTCAAAATTTTAACATTAGGCTTATGGGACTAAAGTAGCCATATGACAGTTTTATGTTTACAAGAAAAATGTAAACAAGAGAACCATAAGTGGAGGACCAGTGACTACTTTCTTGGGAACCTATTTGTGTTGCCAGCTGATTAGAAACAGCCAATGTTAGAAATCAGGATTTAATAAGCGATATGTTGAACCGAATCGAAATCGATATATAATCCGATAATACATCACAGGTTATATTATGTTGAATTACATCGACGGTTCAATAAGTTATTACACTTATTAATAAAACGCAGATTGAACACTGATCTAATTTAGGTTTGTGGGGAAGGTAGGTCGGGGTTTATGAGTATTCGTGACTTAAGTGTTTTGAAGTAAGGTTAGATTAGGAAGGTAAAGTGTAAATTATAGGTAGGTGATCGGGTTGTTTATTTGTGTTGCACCAAATAAACTGATAATATTTTCCTGGTCAAAACTACCATAATGCACTTTTGGAAGAGGTATCTGAATAACAAGATGTAGTAAAAAGAAATATGAATTATTATAATTTTAATCAATAAAACCAGCATCTATTGACTTTTTTTACATTTAGTTACTTATACAAATATAAAATCACGTTTGTTCCGCTCAACTGGCTTTCACCTCTCTGAAAGCAACCCTAGTTAATTTTTAACTCGCATGAATTCTTCAATAATTAATTATTGCACAAATCCTTTTCGACGATTCATTTGATATTTTTTTAACTGTTGTGATACTTAATCCATAGTAGTGTTATAGGTTTTGTGTGCCAACTATTAGTTGAATAATATCCTCTGAGTAAGATAAAACTAATAGATGTATATATATATTCAATAATTTCAAAAATGTTTGCCACGCTTCCTAATTGTTTACCTTAAGTTGTTTGGATTAATGAATAATCTTTCTTTGCAGCATAAGAAATAATCGCTAGCTTGTTAGTCATGTTTAATAGTTGTCAACTTGGTCCGAAGTCAAATTGCTGTTAGGACAGCTTTTCTTGAGCCACTGTTAGTTTGTCTTTGTCTCCAAGTCCCTTTGTCATTACAGTTGAAAGACGTTGTTGCTTGAATAAAAGCCACAAATAAATCTTAAACTGATATAGTTTAATATATATATAGACGACTAACTATGCAACCTTTTTATACTTTTTTCAATAATCAAGTATCAAAAACTTAATGTAGTTTTAGATGCACGTCATACATTGAATTAAATCGATCTCAAAGGTTCAAAGTGAGTAAAGTGGCATTGCATATACGTTCACGAACATTGAACAAGAAAAGGTTATCCAAGGCAAGGCACATAAATCGATATATAACTACTATTATATATAGTTGGCACACATAGCATTGAAAAGATAGTCTGATTATAAAGATAGCTTAATAGCACATGATTGCTAATTCAAGAGCTTAGATTTAAAATAAAGCGTTTTTAAATATTTAAAGAGTGCTGTGATTCTCTCTTACAAATGCTAAAGTTAAATGACTTATATTTATGGTATAGCGTGTGTTTAGTATGCTTTGTTCAATGTAATACCAAGAGTACGTTTGTTAAGCTTTATAAGTGTTCTAAAATTTTGCTGTTATTATCCTACTAATATTATAAATGTGAAAGTATGGATGTTTGTGTAACTCCGAAGTTCCATCACGTGAAAACCACTGGACCGAATGAGCTGTCATTTTGCAGAGTGATACTTGATAGTCTTATGAAACACAGGCATATTAAAGTTGTGCAAATCCTATAGGGCTATGCCCCACGGGGGTTCAAAATTGTCCATGTTATTCTTATAAGTATTCATATCCAAAATGAATTTGACCAGCTGCTTCAACCAAGCAAGTTGGTTCTATAATTTTTTAATAACATTAAAAAAGTTACAAAGCTTACCAACCGGGTACAGCTCTATTTCTTTGTATTCATGATTTATACTAAGCAGCAAAAAGGTGTGATACACAATGAAAACTGGCAAAGTAAGATTGTTTACAGTTTTTTATGTGTCTAATTTAATAAATAATTTGTTATATAGTGTAAATGTTTGGTAATTAACTATTTTCTATTGTTTAGGTGCAATGGTAGAAAGTTATAGCGATGATAATCTGTTATAATATAGCAAACCCCAAATTTAAAGAACCAAGTTTTCTTAAAACGTGTCCTCCTCTATTTCAAACTCGAGCACGAGTATAACTGTCTTAAGCACTTTATACTTACACGCCAACCCCGTACAAAGAACGGGCACTCTGCTAGTTAACTAATAGTCTCACAAGTAATGCGCTCGGACGATTTCTTTATACTACTATTTGGATTGTGTTAGACCGTGTTGATATGCTGATCTTTATATGGAAGTATTCCTTGTCTCAAAGAAGTGTGAAACCGTTCAAAGCAAACAGATTGCCATTGAAAGAGAGAATATTGTTTTCTGCCAAGGCAATGTGAAATAGAAAGGAAACAAGGTGTACACACACACACACACACACACACATACCCAACAAAGATAACAGAGGCATGTCATTTCCCTTTTCGTATAAGATGTATCTAAAACCTGTGTGTAATGGATACAAGTAAATTGCTCATCATACAAACAATAGTAGCGTATGTCACAGGCTCATGTATTAGCCAACATAATCATCTAGCAATCATTTTTTTGTTAGTTTCATGATGGAAAATTATAACTTCAAGTTTTGTATGATTCCCAAGTTTAATTGTAAAAATTCTGTTCGGGCTTCAATATCATACCTACTTTGGTCCAATTTTCCACTGTTTAACTAAATCATCTAAAATACTGGTAATGGCTTTTGTTACGTGACGCTGAATAATTACTCTGTGTTTAATATTGAAATGTCAATAAATCAACATTTAAGTAAGGAGTTTATTATCTGAGTAGTAGCTGAAATATTGACATATGTGCATGCTAGGTAATCCAACAATTTAATTTATAAAAGTATACTTTGCAATCCTCAAAGGAATAAACTTTAGATATTTATCGTAGGATTACGCAGGAAACTGAAAAGAATGTTGAGAGCCTACAATATTCGTAGACCAAATAAGGAAAATTATTGTTAAGTAAATTATAACTTCCATCATAGGTGTAAATTAAGTTGTTGTTAAATAAATTATTTTAGGGGTGGATATTTTTAATTTGTTCATACTAGGATGCTGGAGACACGAGCCCGGGGTTGTTTTCCACACTTCTTGAGGCGAAGTGGTTGCGGCATTATCACTAGATTTTTCCGTTTGTGATTTGACGGGATATAAACCCGGGACCTCAGGGACGATAGCCTCCACCCTACCACTAGAGCAGATCGCTTCCTGAGGAGTGGTGTATTAGGGATAGGTAAAATAATGGTTTGGTTGACCATTCGAACCTTCGGACTAGTAAAGTTTTGGAAGTAAAAAGTTGAGATTTAGATGTAGAAATGGTACAATAGGAGACTGTAAAAAGTGGTTCAGTTGATATAGGGACGGATGTAATAGAAGTACAATGATTATTTTCGAATGATAAGCGCAGGTGACTATGATGACGTAGTCAAGACCTAAGGTAAGGCGTGGGTGGTAGGTGGTGGTGTAGATGGTGGGGGAAGGCGCTCCTGTCAGTCCCCCACGGTACCCCGTGTAGTACGCGTCGTGGAACAGAACCCCCCTGTCATCGTTGTCGTGTGCTCTTAGTTTCGCGAGTTGCTTCTGTTGATTGAAAAAAATATAACTTAACCATGGTCTAGTAAAACGCTTTGTGATATATTGAGTAAGTAATTACCAACTATTCAAATACCTAAGTATGATATTTAATAAATTATTATTTTTTTCATTGTACGAAAAAGAATTTTTTTTACAAAAATGTTGAATATTTTAGGAATATTTTCAACGACGAAAGGTTCTGTGCACCATCCAATATCCATAGAACGATCATAGCTTTTTATTGCATGCATGATACGTATGTGGTAGAGTTCTTACGGGTATATACAATTTGTAGATAATATTAGCCTCATTTATATGTAACAAACTACTATTGTAGCTTAAGCGAAATTCTTTTATGCAATACATTATTTTGCGTATGTAAATTATCTACAGAATCTTGGTAAATAAATTGCACAAAACTAGTATTGGTATCCAAGCGAAAACCAACTTATAAAATCGATCCTATTAACAAGTATGATAGTATCATAGTATATGTATAAACCGTTCATGACATCCATGCAAGCCAACTGGATTGCAATAATATAAAAATAAAATTAATATGTAAAAAACTGCTGTAAAAAGATTCAATAGCCTAAACAAAGAAAATGCTACATTACAATGTAAACACTGTTAAATTCTTATGGAACCTATGTCCTTTGATTCTACAGCTTAACAAATGCCATTTTTTATAAAATATGGACCCTTCTCTCTAATAATATATTCTTTTACAATCCTCCGTTAATCGATACGATGTCAACGCACTAAAGACAGTTTTAGCTCAATAATATTTCGGGGCGTCGACGCTACGCATATACTGCAAGCAAAATATTTTTCCTGAATATTTCAACTGTTTTTATTATTAAGTAAATCTTGTTTAACTAAATGCTGATTGTTAAGCAACACACGAAAACTATTATATGAAATAATATGCAACATTTAAAAAGAGAGCAAACTTTAGTAAAGAGTACTGATTTCTCCTTTTTAAATCATAAATCATACATAAATCCATACTAAGAGTCCTCAGTGAAAACATCCTAAGTTAACAATTTCCCAGAGAACTAATAAACACATTTTTTTCCAATAAATGAGATTCTAACAACCTATATATTAATAGGCAAGAATGTTTCTTTAAAACCTTTTTTCTCAGCTTGTGTGCATCGCAGGGAAAATCTACTCATACTGTTACAAATATATTTTCCTGTAGATGTGCAGAATCCGTTTGAAAACTAAAATAGAATGAGAAATAAACACAAAAAATTAATTTGAAATTAAACAAAAATTAGCACGGGCTTTATGGGTTGTCATGCTGGTGACGAAATAACAACGAATTATAAACAGAAAATCAAAACAAATTGAAAAAAATCCAATCACATGATTTATCTACAGTGTGGGGTGAAAAATAGAGAAGTCTGTACAGTGCATCGGATTTTTTAGCTAGAAGCGGGCTGTGGTGTAATATCTTTGAAGATAAACCTTTTTAGTGTGATCATGTTTTCATATGTGTCAAGTTTTGAGGTTAAATCAAAACAAACAAACTTGCATAATATATTCTTTTAATTGACAATAGTTAAATATACTTACTCTACTTTAATAAAATCACTTGGTCATTAAAGAATATTTACTGTGAAATAAAGACGTGATTCCTAATTCCAAATCAACTAATTAATGAATTGTTATTTAATTATTGTCTTCAAATTAAGTGATAGTTGCTTTAAAAATAATTAATTTAACATGAGCAAATATTAAAATATTGAATCTTCTTGCAAAATTAATGTCGATCATTATATTATTAGTTGCTGTGACTGGGATACACATGATAAACTGATGTGACATAATGATGATTTAAGTTTCGTTTAGAAATATCTTAAGACCCAGACCCACCTTTTAAGGGCTTCAATTAAGTTAGGGTTCAGAATTATATACTCTCGATATGACGAGATAAACTTTTATAGACTAATGTTTTGAGTTTTGTCCTATTTAACTTATAATTAACAGCTACATTGTATTGCTAATAATTTACTTATGAAATCTTTTAAGTTTTACCAGGTACCAAACAGGAAAACGTTATACGATAGGCCAAGGTAGCAGATTCGAATTTGGTTTATAAAATACAGTAGCCTAAATACTTAATGTTTTCTAAAAAATCTGACAATGACAAATACTAAATTAATTTATTTGATCTTTAATGAGCATTCTTTCGTAAATTAAAACAACATGCCCCTAATTTACAACGTGCCAGTCTGTTTGTTTTGATTTCACCTAAAAAAATTGACATGTATGAACACATGATCACACTCACTACAGCCAAAAAGGTTCATCCTCAAAGATATTCCAACATACCTCAACCCCTTCTAGCTAAAAAAATCTAACTGTAAGCCTATATATTTTTGGTCGAGTTTCGACCACTGGATGACCTCTAGTACGTATTAAATGTTATTAAATAAACAGCTTTCGTATTTGTTTTTCATTTGTTTGTTTTTTTCAATCACATAATTTAATTCGATTTTACATATATAACCAATTATTACATTTTTAAAATACTATAACACTACTTTTCAGCCTATTTACAGTTGTTGATGGTTTCTTGTGGTATTTTCAAATCATAAAACTTTAATTTAACCTTTTGCTATGAAAATACAATAGTAATTCAATAATATTAAACTGTATGTATCGTTAATACTACCTCAGTATTTTTTATATATTTAAGCTATAATACGATGGTTAAGGAATACTGCAACTCTTTATTTTTGTAAGATAAGCGAGGCCGACGCTCAGCTCAATACTACTGCGGTTGCTCCCATTTGCATTTCTTAGTTGAAATAGCATACATTTGTCTACCAAAAGATCATATTTAACATTTTCTGGGTTAGGATACCACTATTTTACACAACTCAATAATTGTATTATGTTAAAAATAACCGGTCAACAATGTTTATACAATTAGTTCTTCTATTAAAAACAAATCTGTTCTAATTTCTTTTGAGAACGTATAGGTAATATGTTATTTAACGCTAATCGTAATTTTTTATTGTGAAATCAAATGCGTTTTTAAAGTTAAGTTAAATTTTAAACATATAACAACTAAATTAAAACTACATTTGTATGTTACTGTACTTATTGCACAACACAATCATATTATTTTATTTTTATAACCGACTATTATCGAAAAATAGTTGTAGGTATTTAAAAAGTAATATTCAAAAAAGCTCTCATAAGATTAATCTCAGTAAAAATACTCACTTTTGCTAATGCAGTTAAAGCAAAAACTAATAATTACTTGTTCTAAATTTTACTAAAGAAAAAAAAAATTAAAGAATTATCATAATACTAGCTGTAACCCGCGGGCTTTGCCCCGTTTAATTTCTTAATTTTCAAGATTATCTCGTTCGCATGGCTCAATCACGTCCTGGTTGAAGTTTGTTCGCTACGCTCACTCACCTTTAGGTTGGAGCTCGTTCGCTACGCTCACTCACCTTTAGGTTGGAGCTCGTTCGCTGCGCTCACTTGCCTTCAGGTTAGCTCGTTCGCTACGCTAACTCGCCTCCAGGTTGAAGTTCGTTCGCTACGCTCACTCACCTTTTGGTTGCAAATTAGCTGTTGTCATAAATGTAAAAGAAATAATAGTGCTGCACCCTGTTGGTAATCCTTGTAAATTTAATGCTATTGAACATCATAGAACAGAACCAACTTGTTTAGTTGAAACAGCTGTTAAGATTCATTAATTCCATTTCTCATAAGGTTAACATGGGAAACTCCAGAGCCACTGGGGCGGAGCCCGAAAGGATTTTTGAAATAAGAATATGCCTATATGTTAATCGGGAATGTGAGCTATCATCATGCCAAATTTCAGCCCAATCCGACCAGTATTTTTCGCGTTCACTTGTCACAAACATACATCCATACATCCATACATCCAAACTTTCTCATTTATAATATTAGTAGGATAAAAACATGAAGTATACATTTTAACCTCTGCTATATATTTTTAAACCACAGTGAAAGATAGTGTTTTAGCGTCTTAAAAAATTACACTTTCTTAAAAGATTAATCTAAACAAAATTATGGACTTATTAGATTACACTTTATTAGATGCAATCGTTCAATTTTATAAGACCCATTAACAAATTTAAAATTTAGAAAAATATAAATAATTTGAACATTGTTAAACTAACTGTTTACGGTACTAGAGAGCCTAAATACCTTTTTATTAAACCAGTATACAGTATGTTGTTAAGGTTTACTTTATTAAAGATCGTAATGTAATGCTATATCTTTAATGAATCTCTTTGTAAGAAAATGTATCAAGTATAAGCTTTTTTACTGTAGACGTAGACAATATTATTTTCAACTCCATATACAGTTTAATACCAGAGTAAAATAAGTTCTTGCCTTGTAACGATGGTATTTTTGCATATATTTTAAATTGAATGATGTGTCTCTTTGCCCAATTAATGAATATATTTTAGAGGTTGATTTTGTCGAAAGAAGCATACTACGAGACACAATAAACACATCCTTAATTTAATAACCAGATAAAACTACTATAACAATCCTTAGTATAGCAGTGGGGAATCATATATATTAATTTGTAGGGTTTTAAATTTTTTGTAAACTAACTGAATAAGTAAATAGAGGAGCGGTTCAGCGAGCCCTTTATCTGAAAGTATTTGCGATTCAAAACTTAATTTTATTGCATTAACTGTTATAAAACGGTGATATTGTTTAATCTAAAAAGTTAATATTTAATTTTCAATTAATTAATTAATAGACAATAGCATCAGTCCACGAGCCAGAGTTAGCAATGTCTGGTTAGTTTGAAAGGTCAGTGTAGTTGTTCTTGCATTCATAATGACTCTTTACAAAACAGACATTGCAGTGAATTAAAACATACTCTGAAACAGAGTTGCAATGTAACTACTATGCAATGTAGCTACTTACAGATGCAAGATGAGAGCGGGGTGAGGTGTAATGCAGTGTGCATTGTGCAGCTTTGTTACATACCAAAAGCCAGCTGATCTGTACAGTACTGCAGCATCTATCTATATATATAAAATCCAATGTATGTTT